ATATATACAAGATAGGAAGTTGCCTGTTATGCATACAAGTCAGTAACGGAACCAATTCGAAAGCAAACGAAGATTGCAATTTCAAATTGAAGAAGAGAACGTGACAATTCATACCTTAATCGATGGTGGAGCCAATATCAAGAACAACAGTGATGGCCGGTGCAAAACTAGAATCAGATGGTCTGCAATGAAGCAAGAACCCAATTCAAGCATCAACTGTATTCGATTACAAGAGGCATTGACCTACTAAAAATGCTCTGATAACAAGCATAAAATGATGCAACACATCCGGGAGATACCAAAAGGCCGCTAATAGGCCATGTCTTAACCTCGCAAGCAGTTTGCTTCAAACTGAGTTTCTAGGAAGCAATCAGCTTAACAGAAATCCTGGTTGGTATACGCTTTAAAACTCTGAATCAGTTTTCGATGTCAGGCAGCCTCTATCGGTATTTCATGACGATATCCTTATCAGCCTGAAGGTAAACCAAATATTGTTAAATCCAAATATCCGATTACATCGTCTCAAAAGACAGGCTAGATAAACACTTACAGACTTGGCCAGCTCACTTGCTTTCTCATCATCAAAACCTAAGGAAGCCAATATCTTATGACCAGCTGATTCTTTCTCAGACCATATACCCAGAAGCAAATGTGCTGTGGTTATTTCTCCATCCTCACCTGCTACCATTATAACAAAGAAAGATGACAACATGTACTCATTCACTAAATTATTACCTGGGATTGCAACATGTAATACATTATTTCTACAAAAATTAAGTATTTCTCAGTAAATACTATGAGACCAAAAGTCAACTGCTAATTAAATTTCACATATTTTTAACAAAGAATCTTCCCATCCCAAAGCTAGGCTGCTAATCATCAAACTGAACTGCAAACTATGCTCCACATATCATCAGTTAAGCTGATTTAATAACTCTCAGAAGTTTTTCAGACCTAACATTTCTTTTCACCAAACCTTGTGTCAGGCCAAGACTAGTAATGAGAACATAGCATCCTTTCTTCATCAGGCAATGCTTATATCTGAATTGTAAGTTCATATCTCTCTTTCTTTTTTCAAAGTACTGTCATGTATTAAATATTTTGGTTGACGAAATTGTCAAGTGGTTGTCCATTTAGCTTCTTCAAA